AGAAAAAAGTACGTAAATTAGTTTTAAAAAAATCCGCATTAACATTTCACGTCAAAATATTTTCCATCAAATCATGCACCATTACAACATTTCTGTACCCGTACAGAAAGCACGAAGAAATATATCACAGCGGCACTAACGACCAAGCCCATTGCGGCGCGAGGCGGCGGCGGCGGCGGTCGGTAGCTCGTCAAAGGGCCAGGGCCTCGCGCCTCGCAGCCAGTTATCCACCCACCTCGCTGTCACCCTCATTATGTTCCCGCGTGAGGATACATTTTGCAAAATGGCGCTTTGCCCCGTGGTAATGCGACGCAGACTTGTCAATTTACAACACTCCTCATTTGTAGCATATTATCCGAAGGGTTTTATGTAACTTCGTGAAATTACAGAGCATGGACGGTGTCTACCGTAAATACAAGTTAAGCTTTTGATATGGTTTACGTTTTTAGAGTTGGTTAACCGCTGCCGATGTCGGCGGTTAATAGCAGTGATTTCTTAGCTCCTTGCGTTTATTGCTCGAAGGCATAAAGTTTGCCATTAAAGCTTTCTATGTTACATTTCTTAGTAAATGTTTAGACATTTGTTAATTCAACGTAGAACGTTTCCACTTAAATCTGACATGCTTGTTATAGTTGTAACAACATTTGCGCGAAGCTAGCGTAGCGCTAGCATTGAACCTTTGTTAATTAGTCCTGTTACCTAATTACATATGTTATGTAAGGAACAATGACTCGTGCTGGTATTAACACACGAGATTATGCAACAGAAGATCCTGTGATCTGTTGCCAGTCGGGTGGAGAAACTACAATTTATTGGCTGTTAAAATTTGCCTTGAAATTCCCATCTGTATAATATGCTTTCTGAAGTGGACAAATAGCATAAAAGACTATGCGTAATGTAAATAAATATGTACACTACTCTTTACTTCTATAGAAAATAGCAGGCTTTTATTTCAATGAAGTGCCTCCTGCCTAATATCTCACACTAAGATACACGAGCTATTCGTGATAACGTCTCACCTCTCAGACCTATGACTGCTCTACTTTTAGCACTCCAGACGGTTTTTCCGGAGGTCAACTTACACTGGTGGATCTCCTGACATATCGTGTAACCAATAAAGATATGGACGAACTGTCGGATACTGTTACTGTAATGTTAACTCACTCATTTACTGTTTGCTGTATCACTGATAAACAAGTATCTCAATATTGACGTTACTTTACCTTGCTTCACCGTTGCTATTGATTCTAGTAATATATTTATTGAATTGCAGTATCTCTGTGCTGTTTTCATACTTGTTTGGTGATATTAAAACTCTAAATCATCCGAAATGAAACAATCAAATAGAACCTAGGAACTAAGTTTTATGTTGAAACGATACAAGTTTCCGCCACAGCAGACGTTGAAAAACATCCCATATGCTTAATACTGGTACGAGCCCACGAACAAAAGCAAGAACAATAATCGTAAAAGCCGTCGCCGGGAACGCGTTAGTATATCACCGTGATAAATAAACACGAGCCTGCTAACGCCACGGCAGTGAGAGCGAGAAAATTACTGACCGCACGGCTTCAAAGCAATGCGATGAGTATAAAGCGATATTTATCTGTCTCTTGGCCTCGCCGGCACCAGCACCTATCAAGTCGAGTGCCACACACACTGATTTACTCTCACCATCACCCTTATAATCAAGACTTAAGGCACATTTTCCACCATCAGAGTGGTCGGTTAGAGTGTGTGGAACTATAGCACCGTAGATAGATGTGCTCGCGTGCAGTGACGCAACGCGGGACCGCTTGACATCTATATATAATGATGTTTTGTATATTATGCGTGTTGGATGTGTGTGGTATACTCACCTCAATTTAACATTGTCAGCTGCCGTTTATTCTGGAACTGAGGGGCGGTAAATACGGATAGATAGCTGCGGATTCGCACGTGTCATCAATTGTTCCGCGTTCTGATGAAACTTTGAACACGTGAAAGTTTTATTTAAATGTGGTCATCATTGGTGGTTATTGGCAACATGTTTATGCACATGTCATTTAAAAATTGTAAGTATAACATAATATACATATTATACTTATGTATAAAATAACTGTAAGGATTAGTAACGAGGTGGTTTTAGTCAGAGTGTAACACTTCCTCTCGGCTCACCCAGGTGGGAGAAGTAGTTCGATAATTTCCCCACTTAACCCTTCGAGTACCGTCATTATAGACACAATTAAAAACCAATAGGTTGCGGTCACCGGTGTCCTCGCGGTGTTTGACAGTTAAAAAAAAACAAAATACTAAGTTTCTTATTACTCTGTTCTAAAAAGTAGCCTATTTTCTAACTTTTGCTAGTAAAGATACTTAATAACCAACGTTCACTTTAAAAATATTCGTGTTTTGTAATTTCAAGCAAGATTTCAAATCTGCAACGCTTTCATTTAAACAAACGCAATCTCAACATTTAAAACACACCAACAAACCGCACTAGCTCTACTTAAATGAAAACAAAGCTAAAACATTCAGAAAATTAATTTAAAACCGTCTTAAACAAAAACAGAAGCACTGCAATACGACAGTCGTCCCTTCCAGTTCCAGATTTGATCTCATAACGCGAAAACCGGAGCAATATTTAAACGTAGTGCGGCACACATTTCCCGGACATATTTCACGGGCTCACATCGCATCGCCGAGATTTCCCCGTCCCGTCTTCCCCGGTATCTTATCGCCTCTAGAGCGGCCGTGTCGTTTCCATCCACTGACGCGAGCTGTCAGACGCGCCGAGGCGACGCGATGTACGGTATATTGCCACTTTGGTTTTATTATCCCGAGCTCACACCAATTGTTCTGATAATAGTTTTCTTAATTAAAAATTGTGAGCTACTGGTGTATGCTGTTAGTGATTTTTGGCGAATGTTATATTTACTCATGTATGAGTAGCAAAACGTATTTGCAAATAGTTTTGATTTGTGACTTTTATTAAGTAAATCAAATAAGTTAGTCAAAAACTGTAGATATACTTATAATTGCAAGTTAAATAATGAATTTCAATGAATACAAAGATGCACACTTCAAATCCAGAGTACCTACTAAACATATTGAGTTAAAGCAACATCTCAGAATATCCAGACAAACTAAACATTTGTATAAGAATATAAGAAGAAACATATAAGTACGAACAAATATAAGATTGAAATGGCAAAGGAATTAGATATTGCATCTGTAACTTACAGGACTTACAATGAGAAGGGTAAAAAATTCTGGTTTCAAAGCAAATAAGTGAAATAAGTATAAAAACCAGATAAACATTTTTAAAATAATAATTCACCTTTATTGCCACTGATATATTATAACTAACTCCTCTGGCTCATTACTTGCCAATAAGACAAGTGATCCGCTTGTTTGTTTTCCTACTATTCCATAAAAATACCATTGTTATTGAAGGCCTCAAAAACCTGACAATATATGTATTGGAAGACTTGCAGTTACCAAACTGTCGTCTATTTTCTGAAACATGAAGAAACCACCAACTTCTGTATATTTAATGGACGTTACGAAAATTCAGTTCTATATTAATCAGTTTACTTTGAAACTTTACGGGGAAAATCATTAAATTCCCGTTGGAAAACTGTTCAAAGTAGTGTTTTAATCTCTCTCGGGCGCTGCACCTGCATTCAAATTGCTTTGTCACGGCTCCTTCTATCTTCATTGGGTGCTATGTCATTATTAATCGTTATTTCCTCTACGTGACCCGTTGTACTAATTGCTGCTACAATTCCTTGCGAAATCATTTACAATTTTGCTAACTGATAAATATCCTTATCATTTTAATGATTATGGCACTAAATCGTTACCTAAGCCATTGATTTAATAGTGAAAATGTGCAAAGTTGAATTATGCCTAGTGTGGTATGGTATGTTAGAATATTGAAAAATTGTGTTTAAAAATTAAAAATCATCAAAGCGCACTACTGTTCCATTTTATTCAGTGTTTTTTTCATTGAATACCATTTCAAACACATTATCTAATATTAAGCTAACACCTGGTTATTATTAATTGTGAGCTACACGCTTCAAAAAGCCAATTTAAAAATTCCCTATCTATTTCACATCGAAAAAAAGTACTCAATTTCGCAAATTGCGCCCGCAATTATGCACAGGGTCACAACGAGGTTATCGGCTGGTCGGCAAACATGTGCAGACGTTAGGGTGGCGGCAAGCGATCAGACAGAGCCGACCCGAGCGCGGCGCGGAGCGAGCAAATGGCCCGCGCCACACACCTCTCGTGACAAACTCGACGGCGCATGGCGCGGCCGGTGGCCAGCGCGCGGGCCAAAGTATCATGACCGTTTATGCGCCGTAAATAAAATAAATAAAATAAAAATATTTTATTTCTTATTAATATTGTTTTTTATTTATTGCAACGATTAAAATTTTGCCTATATTAGTTTTACAAAGTTGTGGTCATTAAAAGTTACGTGCAAAGTATTTTTTTCATCATAAAATCTGAGAGCTTAAGCTATGTGTAATAAAATCTTATTTTAGTGGTCTATAATGATAATTAACATTTACTATGCTTATAATTACAAAGTTGTAATAAGTTCATCTTTTATAAAAACCACTTAAAAGACCTCCTAAAGTTACCTTGCAGTTTGTGAAAACTTGAAAAAAGTTGCGATACTCTTTAATAAATAACCGAATACTATATTAACACAAATCTTGACCATGTGTGATAGAAAATTTACATTTTAATATAGCAAAAATATTCCGAGTTAGTATTCCGATTGAAATATGACAATTGGCGGGCGGTCGTCGCTGTAAGTACGAATAGTCGCCCGTCCGGCGGCCACAAATCTTCCGTTTCACTCAGTGCCCAGCCTCCGAGCCGTGAGAAGAGGAAACAGCACGCTCTAAAGCACGCGACTGCGTGATGCCGGCTACTCCCGAAATAGACCCCCCGCGCGGGGTGCCGGCCCATCGACGTGCTTTTAGTATGCTGCGCGCATGCGAACCGCCCGCACCCTTCTGCGCTCCTGGTACTAACAAAGCTAAACTCGCGAAATTAAATAACAAATAACATAATAAAAAATATTAACAGTGCCCAACATAGCATGCTTTAAAAACAAAATGGTCGCAATCCTGGCCAACCCCAAGTGGAGCGAGGATCTCACCATCCAGATGATTATCGAGTACGAGAAGCGCGAATATCTCTGGAACCCGGTCTCGGAACACTACAAGAATAAGAAAATAAGGGAGCAAGGATACATAGAAATAATAAATGCACTGAATTTGGTTGACGTCACCGTTAAAGAATTGAAAAATAAAATAAAAAATATTCGTTCATCATACAGCGTTGAGTTGAAGAAGATTCGCGCGGCGAGGAAGGCTGGCGCGCATGCGTACAGACCGAGCGTCACGTGGTTCGAACATGCAGACAGGTTTCTGCGGGCGATCGTCACACCGAGCTCCGTGAGTCTATTTTTTTGTTGTTTACGACGCTTACTCATGTTTACACATGCACTCTGACTTTATACGGCTGTTACGTTTGTTGATAGGTGGACAACAGTTTATTGGAGATCCCGGCGAGCGATGACAGCGACGTAGTTCAAGACCTCAGTGAGAGAAAATCGCCGGAAAAGAAAAGTCCGCGAAAGCGACGCAGCTCGACGCGTTCGTCGACACCGTACGTGTTGAATACGCCGTCCCCCCGACCCGGCACTCCATTCGGTTTGAGCCAGGGCACGTTTGGCATCCTCCCGCCGGTAACGTCCGCGCCTTTTCTCAATCCCCCCGTAGGGATCGCTACGCCGTTGACTACCTCGCTCGCAACGATCTACCCGGTACCTACGAAACAAAAGAAAAGTAATTCAGACAGTGGCGATCACACGGACTTGCCACAAGATCTGAGTCAACATTCCGAGAATGGTAACGAGAACGAGTTCGAGATGTTTGGGAAGTTAATTGCGAGCCAGTTGCGGAAGTTGCCGCTCAGTTTAGCACTGGACACGCAGTTGAAAATACAGACTTTGGTGAACGCAGCGCGGATACAAGCTGTTTATCAGCAATACAGTTACGCGGGCCCGACTCAAGAAGCCTTGTCCGTACAGGCTCTGTCCAACGGGATTCTGGCGGGTATGGCCACACAGAGCTCGTTTGCTTCTCGGTCCTTGGGCTTGGACAACGATTCTCCCGACGAGATGAACAGGGATTTAAAGACTATCGAATATTCTCTAGGTTCGGAAAACGAAGATTAGAATTCCAGAAACCATTTAAAAACCTGTTTGCTCACACACAACCTAAAAGTACCTCATGATTCTCTGTTGAGATAATTTTGAGAATATTGCTCATTATTATACCTTTGTAAAGCGTACGACGCACAATAAATATTGCCGTGACTCTGACTTGGAGATTGGGTAAAGAATTATTGTCACTATTTAAATGTATGTGTTTTAGATGAAAATATTGGTGTGATCGATGTACTTGTAGTAGAGTCTTAATCTGTAAAGATTTTTGTATATGAAGAAAAATCCAAAAGTAGTATTTTTCAAAAACTAGTCATTGATATTTCGGTGTAATGTAGATCTCGATGTTTCGGCTGTGTTATTTTATTTTACGAGGAAAAGAAAATGTTACCATTTTAGAATAAAAATCCTTTTTTGAGTTAGTAATTAGCAACTCCCGAAATGAAAAAGTTGCCAACAATAACGAATTTATTTTAATTGTGATAGGTTTATAAACTAGATATCTGTGTTATACATAAATGTGATTATAGATTAACCGTAATTCTTCGTCCACTATCGAAAAAATCCGGAAAAAGTTACATTTTTTTCGAAAACTGCTTTTAGCGGGTCTTTTTGGTGGTCCTAAGTAGAATACGCCCTTAGAATAATATTACAGCATACGTTTCATGTTTCATGATATAATGTGGAATTAAATACCTCAAATATAATGTCAGTACATATTAGTACAGTTCATACTTTGGAATGTTATATATTCTCTGTTGTTCAATGTGCCACAATTAGATTGTATACAGATTGTGATTTATTGAGAAATAAATAAATATTTTATAAATGTCATGATATCTGTTTATTTTACTTCTAAAATTTTCAATAAGAGTGTAGGAAAATAAAATTAGAAAAGAAATTGACATCTGACTTTTCAAGTATCAATATAATTGAGCGATCCACAGTTATCGAATGTACCTCTACAATCCACAAAAAGGTTTTAATTGCAGTCGAAAAAATAACAAAACATATTTTATTATAATACCTACCCACTGATATGATAAGAGTATGGATAAGAAACAACTAGGAAAAAATCGTGCCTACATAAACTTCACTTGGTCACCTGTAATGGCGTATAGAACTAGGTATGTAACTTTTAAAACTGTAGAAATACCGATATTTTAGAATTGGTTTTAATTGACTTATCAATAAAATATAATTATTTAATGATTCATCTGGATTTAATTTTTATCTAGCTGCTAAACATTACCAACATAACATCATCATCATATAACATCACGCCTTTTATCCCCGAAAGGGTAGGCAGAGGTGCACATTATACCACTGTACAATGTAACACCCACTTTTCACTATTTATGTTTTAAGTCCCATGTAATAGGGGGTGAGCCTATTGCCATATATACCGGGCACAATTCCAGACTCCGTGCTATTACTGAGAATATTTAAAAACCCAGTAATACTTTGCCCGACCCGGGAATCGAACCCGAGACCCCTTGCCCGGCACTAGCTGCTAAACATTACCAACATATTAGCGAAATATATTTAGTAGTTGCTGCGTGCACTGTCACTCCAGTCGATCGTGCCTATACATTCACATCATAACTTTCACGATACTTATGTATCGAAATTCATGAAAAGGATTTTCCATCAACTGGTCAATATTTATATACTTAAGGTTAAGTAATTTTTGAGGGTTGAAAAATAAAACTGTATCAAAGTATTCATAAAATCAAGATTTATAATATACAATATCTTCGTATTTTTCGTAGTGTTTCCCTGTAATGTAATCTGCAAAACCATCTTTCGAGAAGACTCCAGAACTGGTTCCAAGTTCATTTTCATGCACATATCTGGCTAGAGGCTGCAACATAAATAGTATAATTTAACTTACTTGATCCAATTGAACATAGATTTTTCTATAGATTCTATAGGTACTGTACTAAGCTCTGAACGAAAATGTTTGTACATTACAATGATAGTGATAGATAGCGGAGGAAAACAGAAACATATAGGTACAAGAACCCGGTTAGTTATGAACTTAATATAAATGTTAAATAAAATGTTAAGTTTGCACCTCTTCAAAAAATGCTTCCAAAACTAATATAACAAAACACATAATGAATCGTTTACATTATGATTTACCAATAGAGCTTGTAGCGATAGGGCCCCATCACGTAGATTTACTATTAATTTATTGTTCGGTTAAAACATTAATCTTCAAAATAAAGTTAACAAACAAAGATATGTTTCCTTCTAGTATCTATATTTCCCACATTAATTATTTCCAGCCAAGAACTTCTGCGTGGTTCAAGCACAAACTAAAAAGAAAATTTATAATATTATTAAAATTATCGGCAGAGTTCGACACATTCTAATAAATACTCTAAAAATACCCTAAAGTTATATTTCATTGGTTTGTTTCATTTGAATCCGTCGAGCGGCATTTGATAAAAAAATCAATTTTGACAAAAATGCATTTCCCACAATATTATTCCTTATCTCATATTGTACAAAAATTATTCTCTATTGTATTAATTATTTATTACATTACGTAGGTATTGACGATGGTGGAATTTTGTCGATAAAATGAAATTTTTGACGAGTACTTAATGTTTTTTGTATTTTGTCATTATGTCAAATTAATGCACTTTATCATTCAGAATTTAGTATAGTTCTTTGTTCTACTTTTGACGCATTTATTATGTACGATAAAATTATCGATACGGGAACAATCATGTACAACACTATTTTTTAATGAAAATTGTTTTAGACGTATTTCAACTAAAATTAATGAAAATAAGCACTGCATTAGTTAGAAAAGTATTGTATTTAGTCAATTTGCAGCAACCACACTTGAATAGTTTGAAAAACAGAGATATTTTAATGAAAAATAACAGTACTTACCGATGTAGTGTTACACCTGCAATAACACTGCACCCGGGCATAGTTCTAATCACTAACCAATAATTTCTTTGTTTACCACGCACAAAAACAACAGGAATTCTACAAATTTTCGTAACAAAATATTGTTGACCAATGCTTTGACAGCTGATGTACCACTGACATGCACTGATAACAGGGACTAAGATGGCCAATTCGGCACAACTAGGGTTTTCTGATGACGTCAAAAAATTATGGCCAGAATGACAATAATGTGTTGTCTCTTTCTGCATAAGCAAAGAGACATAAGTAAAAAAGAAACAACAGTATGTTTATGAATTTACCGTCAAGATGGATCCTAAATTCTATCCGTAGACAATAGCCAGACATCTATGTTATATTTATAAATCTATGTACCTACCGCTTTCCAAATTAGAATGAAAAGTATTTAAATGAAAACAGATTATGTACGATCCTGGTAGGTACGTTTAATTCTTATGTAATCCCGTCGACATACGTTATTGATTGCCAGGTTTGGCATGCCAACCATTGGCGTGCCAAGCTGCCAGCCGTCAATGTAGTAATGAGCATTTGTTCATAAAAAAGTCCCTAGACTTTACACCTGGCTACTTTATTATGTACCTACTTTATCATTGCGTGTAGAAAATACAAATATTTCTACGTTTTTCTGTTTGTTGTTAGATTAGGGATTAGATAGGGATCAAGTATTATTATTTAACCAAGATTTTTCAAGCAGAACCGTATTTAATGAAATATTAATGTTAATGGATAGAAAACTTAAAAAAATACATCTACGTGATTTTTGCCCTGTATTGTTGAGCACCTATTTCTTGTTACACGTAAATAGTTTACTCTGCCTAATATTCAACATTCGCTGTTGTAAATTCCTCACAATTCAAAACAAAACTTCCTCCCCTAACTGTACGTTTTGACAGCTCGCTTAATTTGACAGCTCAAAATGGCGCGAAACAGTTCAAATACCACGGAGGTTTTTATTTATCTTGGGTGCTGAAATTAATAGAAACTACAAGTTTAAGATTTTGGTAACCAATTTTAATGATTAGAAAATAATAATATATAAATCGTAAAATATGACGTACGTAGCTAGTAGCTGTACATTCATAAGCAGGCTTAGTGAATCATGACTTTAAAGCCTTCCGTTGGTCGTATGACTCAAAGTTATAATTTAGAAACGTTTGACAATTATTGACGTCGACGACACCTAATATATGACGAGATTCAAGTTACAGTTTTTAAGTCTACACCTAATTACTAAAAATTATGATCTACGCACGTTATAATGTTTACATCCTGTAAATGGGGAACAGACAGAATCTCATTATAACTCATCATTAATTTACCACTAGAATCAGTCGCAGTATAAATCGCAACGCAACACAGCACACACGATTGGCACGCGCTACAGCGTACACGTCCTTGGGGGTGAAACCAAACGAAGTAAAGGGTAGTACACACAGATTGCAGCCACGTCTCGCACCATTACGGTTTAATATTATTCGACGCGATCAACGGCGCGTGAGCGTGTTATTATGAATATTATCATAATATGCGGTATGTGTCGTGCCGTGTCGACTGTGCTTGTGTGAAAGAGGCGTTATTTTCCGAGCCGCGAGTGTCGATGTGGCTTTATTTGACGCCTTTTGAAAATGTTCTGAATATTTGACACTTGATTTTAATGTGGGACTGTGGGACAGATGCGTCGTGTGTCGTTCGTTGGCTTTTCTGTTAAGATTGTAAGAGTAAGATGGAAGTACCTATCTTTTGCGTTTTGAAAAATGGTTTTTGGGTAAGAAGAGTCACAGTGGATACTTAACTCGTTGAGTAGGTACCGTCATTATAGACACAATTAAAGAACAATAGGTTGCGGTCACCGGTGACCGCGCGGTGTTTGACAGTTTAATACCAATGATTCTTATATGGAATTTATCGACTGGTCAATATTTCTAGATTTCCTAATTAATCGTTACTTATAGAAGTAGATACTAACCGTCTAACACCCACTTTTCCTCAGTTGTGTTATTATTAGAAGTGGACGAGTCTGTTGCCACACCGGGCAAGTAGTCCTTACATTCATGGTACGCATTTTGATAAGCCAATATGCACTTATCCAGCTTATAAATAAGCCATAAATTAGTTTCCACATCAACGACTTAGGTCTGTTTGAAGCGATGGCCCGCGATGTAATCCATCACTTGGGCCCAGTGCGCGTTCGTAGTTGTCACTGTCTTCGAGTTTCGAGTGTAGATATTATGTTTGTGAATTATTTTCTTGAGAGAAGAAATAGCCTACACAAATTCTAGTGTAGCAAAAATTGTTTTACGCAGTGCAGTGTTTAAGTTTTGCCAACTTTCACAGAATAAGTAGTGCGTTTTTTCGAATTTAAAGAGATAGTTTATCGACTGTCATTACGACTTGCCTAAATTGAAAATAGAGTGGTCGAGCCGGTTTAAAGTTGTAAACGCAGCACAATAATCAAAAAATCATAATTTCAAGCTCTAAAACATTTTTTATTTATCGGAATGAGAAGTAATTTTACCTGGGTAGTTTTTTGGCAAAATTAATGACTGTGTACCTTTAACTACCATAGTGACTAATTTATACTTACTTATGGTCAAACCCCATCGAATATAAGAAAAAACTTTCTGCAAAATCCTAAAAAATACATTTGACAGTCAGTATAGATTTTTATAAATACTTAAAAATTTACGTTTTTCTCTTTAGGCCTTAGTGTCGAACCACGAGGATTAACTTCTCTCGAAGCCTGAATAATATTCCTGTACCTGCCTAAAGCTATGTAGATGTACTCTACACTACATATTTATCG